GCTGAGTTATTTATCCAGGTCACATCGATCTCCGGATGGAAGGAGCCGAACGACGGCAGTGCGCGAGACGTGCTTTGAATAAGCTAGGTGGACGTGAACGCACTACGCTACGGCTTCGCCAATCTGTTCCTACCACTACCCCCAATCACTACCCCCAGGCTTCGCCGAACGGAAGCTCTGCCAAGAACCTCGCTCTGCCAGCTGGACTTGATCGATGGAGCAGCATTCGTGAAGCTGTTCTTAAGCGATCGGTGCTTCAAAACAAGTTCAGCGGCATGAAAGTCGGTCATGCTGTGCGATAATTCTTACTTTGATTTCAGTATATCTCTGAGATTTTATGTCCGTCCCAGTAGCTCAGCTGGATTAGAGAACCCGCCTTCGAAGTCATCTACTGGTGGCTGAAATGGTCCGAATCGCTTTAAGCGCTTACTATGTATTTCTTTATGCGATTACTGTAATGGACCGCAGCCGATTGACGCGCACGTGCAAGTGGCGCCGATATTTGTCTCCGAATGTCATCTCAGCATCGACAGCGGTCGGTAGGTCAGTGGTAGCGCATGCCGGGCTAAGAAGGGATAACAGACCGTGCCGAACATTTTGTGAACTGAATATTTTTGCCACAGAACAATGCTGTTGAGCTGGAATTTGATGATCCAGTAGTGGGGACAGGCTTAATCAAACAGTGCTGGATCTAAGCTTCCAAATTCTTACGAGCAAAAGGGTGGAACTAAATCTTTAAACAGAGAAAAATTTCCGTTCGTCCAGGACGTCGTCATGAGGACCAGCTCGAATTCCAGCCCGCGCTGTGAACGTGTGGCTGTTTGACCTCCGAAGTAGCCTCTGCCCGTGACGGGAAGGGGCGGTCTCGGCGCGGCCTCTACCGGTGCCCCGCGCCCGCCGTCGGCGGTGGTGTTAGCGGCACATCTGCTCAGCGTCACTGCCGACGCGATAACGGGAGGGTCACAGATCGGTCTCTGGTGTCGACGGCGGAGACTATCAGACACGAGCCAGACCATCAGACACGAGCCAGACCATCAGACACGAGCCAGACCATCAGACACGAGCCAGACCATCAGACACGAGCCAGACCATCAGACACGAGCCAGACCATCAGACACGAGCCAGACCATCAGACACGAGCCAGACCATCAGACACGAGCCAGACCATCAGACACGAGCCAGACCATCAGACACGAGCCAGACCATCAGACACGAGCCAGACCATCAGACACGAGCCAAACCATCAGACACGAGTGAGACCATCAGAAACGAGTGAGACCATCAGACAAGAGTGAGACCATCAGACAAGAGTGAGACCATCAGACATTAATGAGACCATCAGACACGAGTCAGACCATCAGACTTTAACCAGACTATCAGACACTAGTGAGACCATCAGACACGAGTGAGACCATCAGACACGAGCCAGACCATCAGACACGAGTCAGACCATCAGACACTAGTGCGACCATCAGACACGAGTCAGACCACCAGACACGAGCTAGACCATCAGACACAAGTCATTATGTCAGAGACGGACGTTTCCGAAGCGCTCGACATCCATTTGTGAGTTCAGCGAGTGAGAGCAACGCTCGACCGGGTGACGGCAGGACATAAGTGGATATGATTTGTATGGAAGGTCGTGCATGACTGGCCCACCAGCACAGTGTCATACCGCGCGAAATGGGAACTGCACTGGCTAATCTTCAAAAAGGCATCTCAGTTCAAAAGCCCACACAAATGTGGAGCACTCCGCTTAAGCCTACGTCGACACAAATTAATTTCAAATCCCAAGATTGGTCATTCTATGTTTCTGGGGTTTCTACGCCGCTCAAAACACGTCAAGCCGTAGCGAGCAGACCAGCAAGGTCAGCAGCAGCTTCCATCGGCGCAAACTAAGCTCTTTCGATGAGCCATCGCCTTTTACTCGTCCGACCACTTACGCCTCTGTCCTCACTGTGTCCGTGAGGGTGGCTACCATTGGCGTGGACTGAAACCACGCCAGCAAAAGGCCCGCATCGCTGGTATGGCCAATCAGGGAATGGGAGCACTGCTGTGGACATGATGTGTGGCTTGCTGACCTCCAAGGCCCAAGCTGAAGCTCTTATTATCCTTTCCTGCCAGGAGCGATGCCATTGGCTGATGAAGCGAATGGATATGAAAGGCAATATTAATGTTGGCGCCAGTTTTCGCTTTAAGTTAGGTCGTGCCGCGTGAGGAGTCTTTTCGTCATGGAGGCCCGACCGACACCAGCACCAAGGCGCGTGCCTTACGAGCTCAGACGTGGCACGCGGCTCTGAGGCCCGACCGACACCAGCACCAAGGCGCGTGCCTTACGAGCTCAGACGTGGCACGCGGCTCTGAGGCCCGACCGACACCAGCACTACAGAACCTGTCTTATGAACTCAGACGTGGCACGCGTCTCTGGTGACTTGCGCGTGTACACAAATTGCCTGTCAAGTTTGGACTACTTTTTCTGTTATAAATCCGACAAAAAACATCGGGCAGAAGATTCAAAGGAAACAGGCGTGCGCGATCTTGAAGCAGGGAGCTTATATGAACAGCATCATGACATATGTTCAATAGGCTACTTTATGCTCAGAATATACAGGCAGAGGTAAAAGGATACACATTTGTATCTTTTCGTCACTTTATGTGACGAAATTTTAAAAAAACCGGTATAACAAGCATACCGTGACCAATCTTGTCGACAGACGTGTCATGGTCGATATCCTATCTTTTCCAGAACATAGTGACCTTGAGTCAGGTCAAAGGTCACCAAAAACGGCCAAAACCGCCAAAATTGGCTGCAGATGGCCCCATGCTCCGAGCCTGTGGCACCATCGCCATGAAATCTTCATCTGTCGATGCTACATAGTCAATTTTCTATGTTTTCCAGAGCATGGTGACCTTAGGTCAGGACCGAGGTCACCAAAAAAGGGAAAAAACACCAAAATTGGATGCAGACAACCCCCTACTCCAATCCTTTGGCACCGACTGCCACGAAACCTTCACCAATCGACGAGCCATAGCTGATATCCTATCCTTTCCAGAATGTGGTGGCCTTGGTCAGGTCAAAGGTCACCAAGAATATAAAAAGAAACGGAAAAATCGGTTTGCAGACAACCCCATGCTCCAAGCCTATGGTATCGATCATCATGGAACCTTCAGCCATGGATGCGCCATAGTCGGAACCCTATCCTTTTCAGAATATGGTACCAGTTGGGTCAGGTCAAAGGGCACCAAAACGGCCAAAACCACCAAAATTGGCTGCAGGCTACCCAATGCTTCGAGCCTATGGCGCCGCTCACCATGTGAATGTATGCAAGCTAATATTAAGTGGTCTTGGCCGCTCGTAAAATATTAAACCTGACCCAAGGTCACCATGTCCTTCACTGGATAGGGTATCAACTATGGCGCATTGATTGGTGAAGGTGTCATAATAATCGGTGCCATAGGCTCGAAGCATTGGGTTGTCTGCACCCAATTATTGTGGTCTGGCCGTTTTTGGTGACCTTTTACTGCACCCAAGGTCACCATATTCTGGAAAGGATAGATTATCGACAGAGCGACATCGAATGGTGAAGGTTTCATGTCAGTCGATGTTACAGGCTTGGAGCATGGGGCTGGTAACAGGTTTGGTCAGTCGTTTAGTCCGTCCACATTTTTTACTTCGAGCTTTATAAAACTTGAACCAGAAATATCTGAAAAATGTCATCCGTTGATGGCATTTCCTTATAAAACTGGCCTAAGAATATCGATATTGATTTCGCTCTTTCAATACTCGTGGTTCGGTGATTCATCAGATCGATGACCAGCCCTCGGCATTTCGGGCCAAAGATTCGACGCCACGGTGACGCGGACAGACGATTTACGCAGACCTTGTACTAACGTAGAGGTAATAATTTGTCTGATGAACACCTAACAACTTATACGGAGCCATTTGGAGCCGGTTTTTGCTTTGTTGCTGAGGCCTACGTGAATCGGCGACTAGTAGCTGCATAAAGACCGACCTGACGTGTAAGATAACATTCGACACGATATATGCATGATTATTCTTGATATTCTTCATAACGTGTTGAAGACCATTTCGCGTTTTGCACATGAGCGCCACTTTAACAGAAACATTGAGAACCATCTCAAAATTCGAAGAAATGCTTTTTACTTTGCCGCGGGTACATCATTTCCAACGGCGATGTGTGCCGAACTTAAAAAGAACACTCTGGAGGACCACAGACTGTTTCCATCTGTATCCGCATGTTTGCGGAACAACAGATGCCATATTTCTAAACGATCTCAAGGCTCCTTGCAAAGGATGCGCCAGCCCCCGGCCACTAGAGTCGGTAATACATGAAGCATAGATGTCAACTGCTTTGCTCTGAATGAGTGCAAACATCCAACGCTGGCGAGTTTCATCCCCGTCAATGGCGTGCTTTTACCAACGCGAGAGAATCGTGCTATGTACGGACTGAAATTATTCCCTTGCGGGTCTTGTGTAAACCCCCAACTTCGGCCATTTTGGCCACTTTCAACCTGCCGTCATGGACGAAGCATGTCGATGCTAAACATTCTGTTTTAGGAATTGCATGGGAGCATATCGTTCGCCATTGGAAGGGTTGGATTTATGCGACACCAGTGAAGAGGAACTCTGTAATCTCGTTTGGCTGACATCGCCATGTGGCGCTCTCGCTGAGCGTGACATGCCAGGGGTCTTGCCAGTTTGCCTGTTACCGATTAGTGTGTGTGATTGTGTTGGCCTTTATTCAAGGCTCGAATACCATCTCTGTGTTCTTTATTTCAGGTTACGAGGGTAGTTCCCTGGCGACGAACTGGACGCAGCAGTGATAAGCTGACGACGCCTGACAGCTTGCGTTACTATCCGCTCCGCCAGGGCGTTCCAAGCGACGTAGGCGCGCCCCGGGCACGAGCGGCGCGTGACCCGCCGCCGGTCGAGTCCGACAGCCGCTTGGCCTATCTCACTCCGGCTCGCGCCCGTCCCCATGCAGCAGCTGCCGCTGCCGGCCGACAACGGCAGCCTCGCCGAGCCGTCTGTCGTCGGCGGCTTCAGCCACGACTTCGACAGCACAAACGGCAGCGTCGGCGGCGTCGAGCGCGGCCCGCTCCCTATCGTCGTCCCCATCACCGTCCTGTACATCGTCACCTTCGTGGTTGGCGCCGTCGGCAACAGCGTCACGTGCGTCGTCATCGTCCACAACCGTTACATGCACACAGCCACCAACTACTACCTGCTCAGCATGGCCGTGTCGGACCTCCTGCTGCTCCTCACCGGGCTCCCCTTTGAGCTCTACTCCTTCTGGCGGCCGGGACGCGAGCACGTCTTCGGCGACACGTTCTGCGTGCTGCGCGGCCTGTGCGCCGAGACCTCCACCAATGCCTCCATCCTCACCATCGTCCTGTTCACCGTCGAGCGCTACCTCGCCATCTGCCACCCGCTCCTCCAGCACACTTTCTCGCGATTATCGCGCGCGCTGCGCAACATTCGCCGTCACCTGGTCCGTGGCGCTTGTGTGCGCCCTCTTTCCCGCGCTCCAGTTCGGTATCAAGCTGGACCGCGACACGCGCGGCCGCCCGCTGCCCGACTCGGGCTCCTGCAATGTGGTGCGCCACCTCTTCCCGCACGTGTTCGAGTTGTCGACCGTCGTGTTCTTCGTCGTTCCGATGATGCTCATCTCGCTGCTGTACGTGCGGATTGGACTGCGCCTGCGGCGGCACGTGCGGCGGCGCCCGTCGCCGGCCAGCATCCACGGCGCCTCGGGCGGTGTCATGGCCGCCCGCCGCGCCGTCATCCGCATGCTGGGTGAGTTATTGACAGCTGGTGGCCCGCGACGCCCCGGGCGGCGTCATGGCCGTCTGCCGCGCCGCCTAAGCATGATAGTGAGTTATGGGCAGTTGGTGATCGGCGCTGCCTCGGACGTCGCTACCAGCTAAGCCGTCCTTTATCGCGTGCTAAGCAGGTTATGGACAGCTGTTGGTAATACCCGCGCGCTAACCGGAACGGCCGCATCGTCGCCCCACTCATGGGAGCTAACGCGTTCACTGATCTGTACAGCCAGTTGGTGTTCAAAGGTAGGCTTTGAAAATTACTACATCGGCGTCCTCAACTCATTGTTTGAACTCTCCATACGCATATAACACGCATGCTGGAGGGGGAGGGTGGAATCTCTATCCCATTTTCTTTCTTAAATGACATCAGCATGAAAAGTTGCCAGCGAACGCTTCTTGGCAAATGTAGTGACAAGAAAACAAGACGTCGAGCGTAAACCCAACTCAGAGCTTAAAACAAGAAAACAAAAATTCCAGCAATGTTTGGCAAGAGTCTTATTAAGGCGCATTCACCCTCCCCTGCGATCGGCAGAGTTTCTGCGCCTGCGAACAGGCGCTCGCAGTGTGCAAGAGATGAAGGAAGGCAGATAGAATACTTAATACAGATAAACGCTGGCGGAGCCGTACCTCCCTCCAATGTCATCGTCAGAAAAAGAACCACCAGGAAATTGACCGCTCATTCAGTGGTTACTGGAATTTGTCATGCGACGTTATTCGTCCGCGGCAATATGGTGCTGTCCTTCGGGGAAAACAACGCGAGGAGACTCTGTACAAGTCAGGTGTGGGAGCGCTCTACAGCCCGCGAGTTCAGAACCATGTGAGAGAATTTGGAAAACTTCACTTCTCATTAGAATGAACTTTCCCGAACGATGATTTTTTTCCCCATAAATTTATTCTGAGTAGTTTGTATGGGTAACTTCGTGTATAGCATCTGCTAAGCATAGCTTGTGACGTGTTTCCTGAACCCACCACCCAAGTCTACCGTTCACTTCCAACGGCTATTTCCTCCCCGCCCCTGCGCCAGACCTATGTGCCGCGCACTGCTGGGTCAAGGCCGACCTGAGTCAGGGTTGACCCTCGCCGGCCAGTTGCCAGCTGACCTTTCCATTTCAGTCGGGTCAAGCAATGCGCCCGCTCCGGGACTCGCACCCAGTGGCGCTGGATTACGAGTCCAGCATCTTTCCCATTGACCACAGAGGCAGTAAACTATCAATGGTGTGCTCAATTTACTTTGCTACCTGACCTCGCTTCACCATGACCCTCGCCAATATCATCATAATTGAAGAGAAGGTATACCTTCGTCGCTTGTGTCGATCCGGTCACCACTGACCTGCTGCCTGTGGGACCAAGCAGTCAAGGCGCCCGAGAGCCCCAATACTGCTATTGCAACCGGCCGCGCGGGCAAGCAGCTCAATGGATTGGACGTCTTAGATATTCAGCTGTATTTTCCGACTGTCATATATTTGGTATCGTTGAACTCACCTGACCCGGGACCGCCCAGTCTGTGGATGCCGTGACTAGCTCTTCAAGATATCATCGCCTAGGTGATATAGGTCTGAGGGTTTGGTTGCCCTGACGTCATTGGAACCAAAGATCACAATGGGCAGATTTCACATTCGCTCCCTTGCGGCCATGGCATTCTAACATGCCCTCAGCGTGCATGTGATCAGCCATGGCGCCTTTGACCTGCCCTGACACCCTGGTTCCCGCCGTGACTGTTTCAGTGGCGGTAGTGGTGGCGTTCTTCATCTGCTGGGCGCCGTTCCACGCCCAGCGTGTGGTGATCATCTACGCCCCGGAGCGGCCCTCGCCGCAGCTGGTGATGGGGCTCAAGGTACGGCTGCCGCCGCCCGTCACGCTCTGCCGACTCCCCACAACCGCCCATGACACATCGGACCAGCGTCCTACAATTGCCGACTGTGGGTGTAAAGCAACACCGTATGAGGAGGACTTTTTCACCCCTTTTCCCCATATTTTATGTGAATTTTTCGCTCCTGCCTGGCATTGTCTAATCGCACATGCCAAACCCCTATTTCCCTTTCTGAGGTTTTCAGATGTCATCCAAAAACCACCAAGTTGAAACCACCAAGCATAAACGAGGCTCCACAGAATCCGGACACCAATGGCCTATGTCCTTCCTCACCTACATCTGAATCATGTCTATGTATGCACAGGAACAAGGGCGCCAGGTACCTCCAAGCCCAAGAACCCCAGTGGCCCCAGCCGCTTGCACGCATTAAATTTGCTTTGTTTACAAGACGCACCACAATCTGAAGCTGTGCGCCTAATGCAAGGTTTTCACGCATAACCTATTTTTTGGTCTCACCACCACGCTACGAAAGCAGAGCCTGGTGCGAACACCAGCAAGGCCTGATATATAATTTGGTTCCACGTATTTCTTTTTTCCCGAGGAAACTTGACCACTAATTTGCATCACTCCCGAAATGCATGAGTGAACAGTTGAAGAAATGTCTTCTAATTTAAACTTAAAAGATGAATATCACCATTTGAGCACTTACGTTAACATGTTTTAGGTCAAATCAGCTGATAAAAAATTTTGCGAGAAAAGTACCAGTCTTTATATCTATTTAGCTACTTTTGTTTTTCGTGGTATCATACCAGTGTGATACCACTTCATTCTTCCTTATTTTTCTTTTGTCTTTAGGGGCACCATCTGCCCCCTAAACTTTTGACCAGTTTCTCTGCAAGACGCTCCAACTGCAAACTTGTACGTATTTTATACATGAATTGGATTAATTCGCCAGCCGCCCAATCATGTATGATATGCATCCAAGCGTAAACAATTCACAGGGAAAAAAGGATGCAATTTGAAGCACGGAACTTAATTTTACCGCCATTTTTGCCCTCTTAAACCTTCGGTTAACCATTTTCTTGGTTCATGGCGGTGCTAAATAATGGCAAATCCAAGCCTTTTGAGCGTCTGACTCACCAGGCTACCTGGCAAGGCTATTAAGGCAAGGCAAGGCTGCCATACAGAGCCTTGGGACAGACCTGACGCAGCTAATACAGAAGTGTTTGATGGCGAAATTCTGCCCTCTGGAGATGTTTATCGTGCACACCTCTTACTTGTTTCGCATTTTAATCTCGAAGTTTGGTGGGCGTGATTGCTATTTATATTTGGAGGTTGAGTCGGATGACTGTTTGCCAGCAGACCATGCAAAAGGTGTTGAATTTTTGCTTTGGGGGAGCAGGAAGAAGCCAGTAAGTCCCCTGTGGACCAAGTAATTGCTGACCTAACCTGCTTTCAACACATGATTGGCAAACAGAGTTAACCATTTTCTGTTTTAATGCATGGAGTTTTGCCATAAGACAAATTATGATGCCACAAGCTTATTTTGTTCCATATGCTTGGTCATTTGCCCCAAATTTCTAAAGTAGTCCCTCATGGCTGCTTTAACCAGATGTTTTCTATAGTTGTCATGGCTTGCTGACCGGCAAATAACTGTACTGTATATATGCACTATATTTTTAACACAGGTATACTCTAAGCTGCATAGCAGTTATAACATGAGTTAAATATTGATATGTAACAAAACGTCAGACCACCACATCTACAATGTGAAGCCAACATCTCAAACTTTGTCATTGAGTATGAATAAACAAGTCCAAATGGATGCATTTGCTGCAACTGAACAGGTAGCAAGCAGCAATATTGGCATGGCCATTTGAAAGGTATGTTGTTTTTGGAGAACAGAGATTGCTTTGTAGAGCATATCCATAATTGCCCTGGACGTAGGTAAACCATGACAATCAAAATAAGTTGTTCACAGTGATTTAAAGTGTTTTGATTTGTGTGTTGTCAACTTTGTCTGACGTCAACAAGTATACACAAATGAACTGAACAAAAAAGCAAGTTGAAACCAGTCAAAAACTAGCTTTAAATATCATGTTTTTATCACAAGCGCTGCTGTCAACAGATAGGTGAGTTGAGATGATGTTCATCATATGGGCTACTCTAAGTTAGGTTAAGTTGGTCACGTGCATGGCAAGCGGCAATAGGAATTGTGCAAGAATCAGTAACTCCCAACTGCTGCTGTGATACGAACAGGTTATACAGGATGAGATGATGTAAGGCCTGTTTAGGCTAGGCATAGGCTACTTTCATGGAAATAAGCATTGATATTTTGTAAGAAACAGTAACAAAATGTTAGTTTTCCCTGAGCCCATCTTAACAGAAGACAGAAGTATGTCTATTGTGTTTGACTTGGTGATGGGATGATGTGTAGGAGTCCAAGGTTTTTTCGTTTGAGTGTTTTATGCTTGTTGCATTTTCTGTTGCTAGTTTGTTATTGAATTCCTTTGCTTTGTTTTGTTTTAAAAGTGCTGTGGAAGCGAATTGAAAAGTGCAGCACTAAATTATTGGTGATAATAATTTGTTATGCTCATAATATTGCCATGAAATTACTGTTTTAACACGCGCCCGGCTGGCCGGCTAGATACCCTTCGCTCGGATGGGGGGGGGGGGGGTTCAATTTGACCCCCCCCCGCTCTGAGATATCGGGAACTAAGAAAGCTAGATACGCCAAATTTACAGGGTGTCTTGACCTATACGTGAACTCACTTAGGTTAGGATTTCAGCTTCCTAGGTTGTGACCTTCAGGTCGAATAAGGTCAAACAAGATCAAATTCCAGGCTGGTTTCCAAAGCACCCCCAGAACCTAGACAACTGTCTCTAAGCAAAAGGTCACAAGCCCATTTGAGGTCATTGACCTTGTTTGACCCTTTGAAGGTCATGGTGACCAAAATGATACAAGACTGCTCTGCGTTTTTCATTTGAACAAGTGACAAAGATTGCGCTAGGCAGTATGTTCCGAAAACAAAACGTTCGACCCGGGTCATCTTAGGTCAATGGCCTGTTCTGATCTCTAAGAGGTCAATTGAAGATGTATAATGCGATTCCTGCTGTCAATAAAGTCGAAATGAGCACCAGAAACTATTCCATACAGCAAGCCCTAGAGTAATAAGTCAGGTTGGTTTTGACCTTAGTCTGACCATCATACCTGACCTTAGGTTAACGTAATTTGCTCATTCAATATTTGTGGTGCCTAAGAAAGCATCTCAGAGATGTATGTCTTCGTCAAACACTCCGTTGTGGTATCAGATTGAACGATTCCCTAGAAATTGCCTTCGCTGAAACCATGGGCTGACTTTGACCTGTCATAGGTCAGCGACCTTGCAAGGTACATCTAAGATTTGTATGTCAAACGATCAAGTATGCAATTTTCTACAGCTATGCAAAATTTGGCGCAACTACGCCGCGCCGTTCAGAAATCATTTGGAAAATCCCTGGGGGGGTCAGTTTGCCCCCCCCACCCCCCCCCTTACCCGAGCGTGTGTTAATGTATTCTGTTTCACTTTAATATCCTAAGGCGTTAAAAAACGAAATAGTTTTGTCAGGTTCATGATATTACGTCCATGCCAACTTGACATAGATGTCTTTGTTTGCTGAAGCATCAGTCACAATCTCATAAGCTCCATCTTTTGTGAGTTGATTCTTTCACTCCCGCACGGTCTTTTTGCAATGAAATTGTTCACTCCCTAACTAGGTCAAAAGCGATTCTAGCTCCCTGCATCGGACCGTTCTAATGCCGTCCTACGACCCTCCTGCGAGCTGCGCGTGACCCTCATGCGAACGTCTGGTGAACGTTCTAAGACGACCTTAAGACGACATGATGCATTTCTTTGCCATTGCCGAGCGCTTGGGACTCTAGCATTGCCCTGCAGGCCTGCAACTGCCCTATTACCATCACCTCACATCTACGACAACGCTTCAACCTCTTTACGGCCGACGACCGTAGTCAGGCTCTGCGATGCCACACATGCTTCCCATGACTCCTATGATCCCTGTGACTCGCTAGCAGCCGCCGCCGTCTCGTGTCGGGATTCGACCCCCACCAAGCCTCGGGGTGGTCCGAGAGCTCGGTCTACTCAGCCCAAAGCCTGCGCCCAGTCAGGTCTTAGAACCAGACAGGTTCCAAAGCCAGAGTTTCTTGCCTCCTTTCTTGTAGCCTTATTGAGTCCTGTTTTCGTTTTTATGGGAATATCGCTCGGTCAGGGTCTTTCCAATGGTCTCTTTATCGTTCACACGTTTACCATTGGTACTCGTGTGTCCACCTGGGTCAACTGGCCAGTTGATGTTGGTGCTAATGTTCTTAAAAATGTTGATGTTGATGGTCTTAGTGATGATGGTGTTGACGATAACGGTTATGTTCGCCGTGATGTTAATCCTCATGGTTGATGGTGACATTCTGTTGCTATTGACGTTGATGTAATGCCAATGATGGTGTTAATGCTGCAGTGTCTGCACTACATCTCCGGCGTGCTGTACTTCATCAGCACCTGCATCAACCCCATCCTCTACCACACCATGAGTGCCAAATTCCGGCGGTCACTTCAGGTGAGCCTCAGGCTGCCGCGGCCGTCAGCTGATTAGCCACAGGTGCGGCCACTGAGACACCGGTGAGAAAGTCACCAGATCTACCGACATTGGGGGATATCCCGCCAGTCTCATAATATGCCAGCCCAATGTCAATTGAAAACCACACGTAACAGGAATCTCGCTCATTGAACATAAGCACATGCTTTTAGTTCAGAGCGCTCCTCGGTTTATCCGATTCCTCAAAGCTCGAGAACGTGACTGCACCTCTGTCGTCACTCGCCCCCCCCCCCCCTCACCCCATCGTCGACCTGTCGCAGGGCGATGACCGTGTAACTGTCACCTTTGTTGACGGCCCACGGGTTACGTCACAGCAGCAGTTCCCTAAAGCTTCAACTATAACCAGGATGTCCGTGTTTACTTCGGCATCTGAAAGAGTGATGATGGTGGTGCTCCTGATCCCCTGATGGTGGTTAGACTTAGATGGGCTCAGCCGGTTATCCTGCCGTGATATTTCTTCTACCTTGGCCAGATTTTCACGGTGCAAAACGCGGTTCTTGATCAAATCTTGCAGGTAACACGTTCAGCTCGTTGAAAACCAGCCGCTGTCGATTGATGCAGCGATCCGTGCTGACGTACTTCGGGCACGAAAGAATCGATGGTCATATTTTATGTTGAATTATACTAGAATTTAGAGTATGGCCGTTGAACAGGCGAAATTCGCGTGACGTCGATATGGCGTCAAGCATCTCTGGGTGAATTCGCGGTCTGTCACGTCGCTTTGCAGGCTCTGTGTGGCGGGATGACGTCAGCGACTGCGAGACCAGTGGAACATTTTCCATCGAACACGCAACACGTGCAGTTATCGAAATGGACAACATGTATCCCACGCGATGATGGTTTTATTTATATACTTCATTTCATGTCGGCAGACGTCATATTTTTCCGTTCAACTGTTTCCCCAATCCACACCGGCGCAAGTCGGTAAACTGCCGGCAGTCTGCTTCAGGGGTGTAGTTTCCTACCCATTGGGGGGGGGGGGGAATAGTCTCTCCCCTCAACTTGGTCCGCAGCCCCTTGCCCAACGTTGGGGAGAAAGCGAGCTAAATGCATAGAGAAACACGCTTGCTGGCGTATTTTGAGGAGGCTGCGTCATTTTGCACTGCACATGTCACTTCCACGTCACTTTCACTGACGATTTGTCATTTAATCGTCTATAGCTGTGCAGAATTTTGCGCGGCTACTCTGCACCGCTCGAAAACCATTCCGGAAAACCTTCGGGGGCTCAAATTGACCACCGCCCGAGCGCGTATTAGTGCGTGGGAGGACACGTTTTGTGGCGTATTTTGAGGAGGCTGCGTCATTTTTCTCCGCACAGACCCTCCCTCAGCCCATGTTATGGAACTACGGCGCTGGTCTGTTCCGTCGTCTTGTCAACACTGGATGGCACCCAATAACAGCGATGACACACCAGTGACAGCCGATCTGTCTCCATGAGCCTTGTCCACTAATGAAGTGATGTTCCGACACACGGTTGATAGCGACCTGGCTGTGACCCGCCCTGACCTGCTGCAGGACACGTTCGAGGGCAGCTGCTGCAGCGCTCGGTGCCGATCAGGTAGGCGCGCGCCGAGAGCCGGCCACAGTCACGCTCGCACTGAGACGCCCCCGCCTGGTGACAGCGCGGGCGCCGTGATCGCGTTTCGAAAACTGGTTATTCCCCATCATGCGAGTGATGGCTTTATCTCCGTGATGAATAGAGCCATTATGATGGCCTCAATGCAGCTTCCGTAATGGCTCTTTCTACGTATCCGCCATACAATAGTGGACCATGCTACGAACGCACAAAACACACGCGCATAAAGTCTGAACACTCGGCGATATTGCATGCCGCCTATCCGTATATTATTCGGTACATATCTGCCGCTCAATACCAGAGCTGACATGGAAGGACGTCTGCTGTGAGCCTCTGAGCAGCATCCGGGCAGCTGCCAGCGCAGGCGTGGCCAGACTTCCCGACAAAGACACGCGACCTCAATATGTGGGACACGTCAGCTCTGGTGGAACGTGACCGCGGCCGAAGGTCGTTAGGGTCACACGACAGTGCGGTCTCTGACGATATTTTACCCGCTCATCTGGTTTTACTTGCTAGTATCAACAGCTGATAAAAGATCGTCTTCTAATAAATCTAATTTCTGGCTTTTCTCTGAGCAGATTCATGCTTGGCTGTACACAAACTGCTGGTGCTTCAGACTGATATATGTAAAAAACTAAATATGTCAAAATAACGTCAACATTTTCTGACTGGGAGTCTTCGTCGCGTGACTTACCGAGTTGACTACCTCGACAAGTACAAGTTGTTGGTTTCGTCAGCCAATGAAATATTGCTATCTGAAATACGGCGGCATCCTTTTGAAATGTTAAGTATTTTTTTCCATTCGTATCAACCTCAAGTCCAGGGGTTCTATGCATGATAAACTGATTTAAAAGACAGGATGTAAAAAATAAAAGCATTTACTTTTGCCTATGCAGCTTTGCAAGCGAGGTAAGACAACGGATTACAGCAAATCACGTCAAAGTAGAAGTCAAACGCTGCTTGTCTTTGGTTATTATGGCCTGAAATCTCCAATGGGCTATGGTCGCGGCGCACTTCCCTCCGTTACGGTGTTTGGTTAGAGTACAAGCATTCGCCGACCTCACCCTGCCGCACCGAGCCTTGAGAGGTGTCGGTATGACCCCAGCGATAGTGAGCTATGTTATGTGTCACCGGATTCCCAGTGAGTGAGTTGTGAGATGTGCCGAGCTCACCCGCGCGAAAGTGAGCTCTGAAAGAAGTCAACCTAACTCCCACAGCAGTGAGTTGCGATCCGTGTGAACCTGACGTCGGATCCGAAGACCGTCAATTGCGCGGCATTTCCGCCAGATGTGGTTTGGCTGGGACGAGCTGACCTTGGGCCGGGCTGAATAGGGCTGCCCACTGTGTCCGATTCTACCAGGAAGCCTTCAACGCAGACGTTTGGCAAAGTTACCCTGCTCATTTGTCACTTCAGCTCCTACAGGCTCGGACATTTTCGGAGCTAGCAAACTGCGTCTCTCAGCTCCAGAGCGGGAGATTTCCAGCGACCGTCCGGGGTGGCGCGCTGTTTCGGCCGAGCACCGCGCCCGCTCCCGACCCGTGCCCCCTGGGCGGCTGTGCCACGCTGGAGGGCGCCAGGACTTGACCTCATGGCGCCGGTACGCCGGTCTTCGATCCACGGTCAGCGCCTCGGGCCGGCGTGTGATCCACGGTCAGCGCCTCGGGCCGGTGTGTAATCCATGGTCAGCGCCTCGGGCCGGTGTGTGATCCATGGCCAGCGCCTCGGGCCGGTGTGTGATCCAGTCAGCGCCTCGGACCGGTGTGCGATCCACGGCCGTTGACTCGGGCCGGTGCGTGATCCACGGTCAGCGCCTCGGGCTGGCGTGTGATCCACAATCAGCGCCTCGGGCCGGTGTGTGATCCACGGCTAGCACCTCGGGCCGGCGTGTGATCCACAGTCAGCGCCTCGGGCCGGTGTGGCTCCATCTCCGGGGACCGAGAGAGCCCAGGGGATCGATTCCATCGCCTTCTGCCAACGGTGGGCCAGTTTCTGCCACGAGGCTTCCAACGTACGCCTTTCGGGGGCGGTCACTCACGGCCGCTTCTGCGGGCAACACCGTTTCGTTGGTCGCAGTGTACCTGGAAATGGCATCAAGAAATGGTAACTGTAGATGAAATTCCATTAGCATGGCGGAAAGGTGTAGTGGAGGGGGTACATGGGAAGTACTGGTAGTTGGAATGGGACATCAATCTGCGTACCAATGTTCATTGTTCTTACTTCAGTTAAAAGCCCCGAGCGCAAATGTTCTACCGCAGAGCAAGGTTTCCCGTCCATGCTATCCCGGTCGTGCGAAATGTTCTGACCGTTTCTCACCCAACAATGGCATTATCCAGTTTCACGAAAAAATCAGGTTTTGGACATTGCCATCTTGCGGAAGATGGGAATCACTTATGCTTTTTTACTACCTTGCATTATAAACCACGTCTCGTGCTCTAAATTAAGCAAAGTACAGAAAGAACGCGTTGTGCGCAGCAAGCCAAGTGTGATGGTCGGCTATAAAAATAGCTCGATACGTAGCTAATCGTTAAGTCTTTAAGCTAATCTTTAGTGGCTAAGTTCTTAACATTGCATCGTGTTCCAATGAGTTTTTCAAAAGACCATAATTTCAAAAGCACCATGCATGATGAGATTACCCGAGCTGTTAGACGCATTAAGACCCGGAAGTTTAAACACGTACCACACTTAACATGCGTATCACATGTACTACTCTACAGAAAATGAGAAAACGCCTCAAAGTAAGTTTTATAATGGAATAAAGTGATGCAAACATATTCTTACATGCTATGCTTATACAATACATATGGATATCCTAGATTTGCCCTTATGTACGCCCTATGCTGTGTGGCAGCACAAATACGCGTATGTGCAGTCCATATGAATATCAGAAACAAACTATTCTAATGTTGATTGAGATGCTTGGGTAGCACTATAAACTAGAACTGGAAGTGGAAATCCTTCGTTTCAGTGGCTATGCATTTATCCGTTCTATAATATATATGTATATGCATGTATGCATTAGCTGTACATTTCTGACAACTTTTTCATGTAATTGTAATGTTCTAGTATATCTATGAACATATTTTACCCCTCGAGAGATCCGTCCCATTCAAAGCCACTCATCAGTATCTGAAGCTAGGCATTGGCCCACGCTACCACGCCTGACCTGCAAAACCATTCAACAGTATCTGAAGCTAGGCATTGGCCCACGTTACCACGCCTGACCTGCAAAACCATTCAACAGTATCTGAAGCTAGGCATTGGCCCACGCTACCACGCCTGATCTGCAAAACCATTCAACAGTATCTGAAGCTAGGCATTGGCCCACGCTACCACGCCTGACCTGCAAAACCATTCAACAGTATCTGAAGCTAGGCATTGGCCCACGTTACCACGCCTGACCTGCAAAACCATTCAACAGTATCTGAAGCTAGGCATTGGCCCACGTTACCACGCCTGACCTGCAAAACCATTCAACAGTATCTGAAGCTAGCCATTGGCCCACGTTACCACACCTGAACTGCAAAACCATTCAACAGTATCTGAAGCTAGGCATTGGCCCACGTTACCACACCTGAACGGCAAAACCATTCAACAGTATCTGAAGCTAGGCATTGGCCCACGTTACCACGCCTGACCTGCAAAACCATTCAACAGTATCTGAAGCTAGGCATTGGCCCACGTTACCACGCCTGACCTGCAAAACCATTCAACAGTATCTGAAGCTAGCCATTGGCCCACGTTACCACACCTGAACTGCAAAACCATTCAACAGTATCTGAAGCTAGGCATTGGCCCACGTTACCACACCTGAACGGCAAAACCATTCAACAGTATCTGAAGCTAGGCATTGGCCCACGTTACCACGCCTGACCTGCAAAACCATTCAACAGTATCTGAAGCTAGGCATTGGCCCACGTTACCACACCTGACCTGCAAAACCATTCAACAGTATCTGAAGCTAGGCATTGGCCCACGTTACCACACCTGAACTGCAAAACCATTCAACAGTATCTGAAGCTAGGCATTGGCCCACGTTACCACACCTGAACTGCAAAACCATTCAACAGTATCTGAAGCTAGGCATTGGCCCACGTTACCACACCTGAACTGCAAAACCATTCAACAGTATCTGAAGCTAGGCATTGGCCCACGTTACCACACCTGACCTGCAATACCATTCAACAGTATCTGAAGCTAGGCATTGGCCCACGCTACCACGCCTGACCTGCAAAACCATTCAACAGTATCTGAAGCTAGGCATTGGCCCACGTTACCACACCTGACCTGCAAAACCATTCAACAGTATCTGAAGCTAGGCATTGGCCCACGCTACCACGCCTGACCTGCAAAACCATTCAACAGTATCTGAAGCTAGGCATTGGCCCACGCTACCACGCCTGACCTGCAAAACCATTCAACAGTATCTGAAGCTAGGCATTGGCCCACGCTACCACGCCTGACCTGCAAAACCATTCAACAGTATCTGAAGCTAGGCATTGGCCCACGCTACCACGCCTGACCTGCAAAACCATTCAACAGTATCTGAAGCTAGGCATTGGCCCACGTTACCACACCTGACCTGCAAAACCATTCAACAGTATCTGAAGCTAGGCATTGGCCCACGTTACCACACCTGACCTGCAAAACCATTCAACAGTATCTGAAGCTAGGCATTGGCCCACGTTACCACACCTGAACTGCAAAACCATTCAACAGTATCTGAAGCTAGGCATTGGCCCACGTTACCACGCCTGACCTGCAAAACCATTCAACAGTATCTGAAGCTAGGCATTGGCCCACGCTACCACGCCTGAACTGCAAAACCATTCAACAGTATCTGAAGCTAGGCATTGGCCCACGTTACCACACCTGACCTGCAAAACCATTCAACAGTATCTGAAGCTAGGCATTGGCCCACGTTACCACACCTGAGCGGCAAAACCATTCAACAGTATCTGAAGCTAGGCATTGGCCCACGTTA